TTCTTGCGAGCCTGTAGATCTCACGTTCACCTCCGTGACTGTGCAGCTTCCTGTATAGCTCCTCCACGTACTCTTCTTTCGCTTGTTTGACGCTCCTTTTCGCAGCTCGTTTGGCGTCTACATATGCCTGCCGCGTTTCTTCTGATTTTGTCTTCTGCCATATTCTGAAGGCTGTCTTCTTCTTCTTGATCACGGACTGCACGTCATCATTCCACCACCAAGTTTCCTTATCGAGTTTTGTTCTTCCTGGCTTCGTACGTCCTAGTAGATTAGTGGCTATCCGATGGACGTTGTTCTTCAGATTCTTCCAGGAGTCTTCTGGCTCTTCTTCTAGCTGTGGTAGGGCGGATTCCATGGCTGCTCTAACTTCGTCGTTGTCTCTGAGCTTCCACCATTTGATGCGTGCTACTTGCTCTGTCGTTGTTCTTCTTTGCCTGTCGATTGGAATATTCAGATCCAGAATCAGTGGTCGATGTTGTGGTATGCAGTCTTCACCGGGTATGACTTTGCTGTTCTTCACATACTTGAGCTCGTCTTGTCGTACAGCCCAGAAGTCTATTTGTGATTTCCGATCTCCACTGGCGTGCGTACGTAAAATGCATGCTGTATGTAGTGCTCAATTACATTCTGTCAGAATCATTAAGCAAGCTGGATACTTTCAACAAACTTTCTGACCCTATTCCCAGCTACAACTGAATGATGCTACCAGATGTATTGCGAACTAGCTGACGTATTTTTTATCACCCTGAAGTTTTCACCAATCTGATCTAATTCATCGTGCTTGCAAGCTCGGAGCAGCACAAGATGCTGGATATAGTCAATGATTTGGGCAAAAAGCACTCTATTCTATATGCGTGTTGAAAAGGTCATGCTGGTGAACCGTTTCAGAGCTCCCCAATTACTTTAAATGTTTATTAAAAATAAAATACCCTTGGCAAACGATGCATTAACTTGTAGAAGCTTATACTGAGTTGTAGAACTGATGCATGTTCTGGAAATATTTATTTCGAAAAGCAACATACATAATGATAATGTCGGATGGACAAAGTACAGAAAATAGGAAACTAAAGATGTTGGTTTCCGAAGTATATTCTGACATAAAACACTCTTCTTTCGAGGCTTTGTTGAGTTGTTAACGGCAATCAGAATAAAACAACACTCATCGGCAACAGCACTCATCGAAATTTCTAAGAAAAATTTAGACGGAAGGGGGCTCGCTTGTAATCTTCACGACTACTGCTAACGCATGTTTGCAGGGACAGTTTAATCCAACAAAACATGTACTTTTAGTATACCACATTTGTTATGTGAGCATAATTTTGGTAAAAAATGAAAGCTCACAGTTGGAACTCAGAGATACTTCACGCTCTTGACAGAGTTTAGAAAGGGATGTGTAATTCAAACCAAATCCTACTTTTTCCCTATTAATTCAGGGAGGCAGCTAGCACCGCGCAAGCTAGTAGCTGTTTTTGGTAGTGAACTCAAAAAGTATGTCGTCATTCGGGGTTCGGACAAAGCCCCGAAAAAAATTGCGGAGAAACTGATTAGTCAAACATGCATTGGAGATTGAACATCCAGACACTCGCGGTACAAACATGTGAAGAGAAGGTCATACCAAGGTGCCTAAATTCAGTGTCTGGGCAAAAACACAGTTTTGAGATTTTGTGCTTATTCGGCCTATTGTCTACGCTGAATCCAAAAATGCACGCTGGTGAGCGCAAAGACGGCGAAAAACGGCTTTAGCACAGGACAAAAATCAGCAGGTGGGCTGGCTCCTCCGCACTGCAAATTCAGGCGTCCAGCTCCCGCAGCGATTTTCTCGTTTTCGGTTTCAATAAATCGCTTGCACCGGCCGCTAGAGATGTTAGGACGGCTAACGGATTGGAGAAGACCGCTCCAGAAGCTGGGAACATGACTTCACCTTGAGGAGGACCCCGCCCACTTGTTTTTCCCTCCTGAGCTGTAGCCCCTTTCGCCGTTTTCGCACTTTTCAGTGTGGATTTCCGGATTCAGCATAGCGAATGGCCCCTGAAAGCACCAATTTCATACTCGAAACTGCCGGACACACCCTTTAAAGGCACCGTCTACCCTAAGTAGGTCTTGAGCTTTTGGCAGTTTACGACAGTGGGACTCCCTATCAAGCTAATACCCAAGTTGCTTCTTAAAATATCGCTTGAAAAGCGAGAAGATCCCTTCGAAATAGCGAAGGGGTAGGAGGAATCCAAATCGGCTCCGCTCCCTCCAGTAATGCCCGCCATCCTTACGCGCCTATCACCGATCCGGAGAAGCGGCCTGCATTTACTCCGGAGCGGGCATTGTCGGGATATTCACCGATTCTCGACTTCATTTTTATCAGGAATATTAAAGGCACCAGGAACGACCAAAACTTGAAAGTCCAGAATCTGGGTGGACGGTATCCTTAACCGTTCTCGCACTAAGCGATAAATCAAAACTGTGCTCCAAGCAAACAACCTGTTTACAACCAAAGGCAATGATAAATTTAATGAAATTTAATGTGCATAACGAGTGAGGGATTCGAATTATGCCCGAAAACTTTACGGAAAACGATAAACCGGTGAATTTCAGGCTTCGACCATAAATTGAAACGCCATGTCTTCGGGAGTTAGAAGTTTTTCGATAATAGTCGCGGAATAAATAGTGTATGAAGTTCTTCCCCTACTACTCATTTGTGGAGCGACCTATCAACAAGAAAAACAAGTGAAGGATGGTGAGAGGACCGCGGAATGGTCAAGACCGCGCAATCAAAATAGACTTTCGTGTTAAGCCCTGCAGTACTCGCAAAACGCAAAGCAGAAAATGTGTATAGATGCAGGATTATGTCGAAATAAAAGATGCTAGTCATTATTGGACACTACAAGAGTTAGAAAATTCAGATAAAATGCTTATAGTTAGTTTTCTTACTTTATATTATTCGCTAAGTCTGATGTTGACCTGCAGATATATGCGTAAATTCTACGTGCTGCCAGACCTTGTACGACAACTATCTTTGACCTATAAGAAGATTGAATAAAACATGGATCGAAAGCATATAGCAGTTTGGAGATGAGTAGTAGTTGCCCTTTAATACCGCTCATACAGGGTGTCACACAAAGATGTGCATATTGTTTGATCGTTAATAACTCTCTTGCTTCCACGTCTTTCGCCGAGCTTGAAGTACCGTTTTGTGGAGCGAAGTTCAACTTAGACTTACTGTATTGCGCAAATTATCACTCACTCTTTATTACTGTAGGATTATGGTGAACTTGGCGAAGGGTTTAAGGCAAATGAAAGCGATATTTGGCCTCAAAAAGATAACCAAACAAGCCAGAAACTTTAGTACTGAACTAGTCAAGGTTCCTGATTCTAAATATAATACTTGCACTTGACACTTGACTATGGTGCTTCGTTAGTAAGCATACCTTCGATAGTCTGGAGACAGGGCGTCAAAAGTGAAGGTAGTTTGAACATCTGACGTCATAAATAGTGAAGGTTGTTTAAAGATGAGCCGACGGGGCATTTGGCTCTGGTCGTACTCCGCGGGATCTCAAAGAGACCCTGCAACATTATATATCATTCTGATCGCCATGACACGACGAGAAGAACTGACAACGTCCCAAGCTTCAAAAATCACTCATTAACGAGATAGACCAGCGTTTTCATGCGCGACTCTCTGCGCAAGATTTAAGCGCAGTTTCTCGTTCTTATTTAACTTCAATAGCTCTCCCAAACTTCTGAAACTCGATTTTGTTCAAATGAAAGGTTAACTAAGTAATTTTGTTTTGAATTCTGGCGAAAATCTCGCAGAAACCTTTTTTAAGGTAAAAAAGGCTATGAAAACGCAAATTATTGATTTCGCTGAGATAAGCTAAAGATTTAATTCCCTATATTTGCTTCATTAACATTCGGTCCAATATAATCAAGATAATAACATCCGGGGCGAAGCCCCGAATGGATTCTGTTTTTTTCCAGGTGAAGGTTGGTCCCCTCATAGCCCTCAAAGTGAAGGTTACCAGAGTGCGTGGCCCTATGTATTGAGGGTATGACAGATGATAGGTGATTCGCTTCATACTGTAAACCTATGTTGAAGCTCGCTTCACAGTATGGTAGAAGCTGGGCGAAAGAAATGGAAGCGAGAGATTACTGGCGATCAAGCAGTGTGCATCTTTTTGGGATATCCTGTATACAATTCAAGATTGCTAAAAGATAGGTGAAGATTTGATTGCAATGTGAATGTGTTTTTGCTCGCAGTATTTGTTACTGTTAGACGTCAGATGCTTATCATGTGACAAACGAAAAAAAAATAATTTGAATCTGGTATACACGTAAAGTTTCTCAAAACCTTTACTTCTTCCTTTTTAACCGATTCGCATACCCTTATCAGAGATTTCACACTTCTTGTACTTCAGATACCTGTGAGGTATCTTGCAATCAGTCACAAATGACTCATTGTCAGTAGATCAAGCAGCAAGTACATCACTTATCACTTAAAGAGATAACTGACTGCCACAATGTTTGCTGTCACACGTATGTGACGAGATAAACAAATTCCTATGCCATAAATTGCCAATATGGTTACCAAAAATGGCTTTTTACTAAAACATTGTGCATTCTATAGTGGTGCAGTCGAGAAAAAATCTGCCCCAAACTTCTTGCGTCCATCTGCACGCTGCTCTGATTGAATGTTACTAATGTTAAATAATTTTAAAGAAGTAAGGACAAATCATAAATTAAGGAATAACGAGTGTGTGATGACGTTTCTCTCACACAGTGTCTCACTGTGTGAGAGAAACGCCCAACGATAAGTTTTTAATGAAGTGACATTACTCAAACAACAGAGAAACACATAGCAATGAGAGCAGTACACGTAGCCAGCAAATGTGTACAGTACCCATACTTTCTTTGTCCCAGCTGTATGGCGAGCGGACTTCCAACAGTACACTTACACGGTTTTTGTAACGCAGCATTACTTATCAATGTCCTGAGATGTTAACATCCGCAATGTCTGTCTGTCATCACTACGTGTAAGAAACGTTACCTTGTTTCCGAAATTTTTGATACATTTACAAGCTTTGTTGACCATATTAATCACCGTGGCATCTCCCACTTGTTCAGAATTTCTTTTCCAAACCCTTATGCAATCAATTTTCTCCAGTACTGAGCATTCTTTCAAAAACAGTCAAAGCTTATTTGCTGATTGAGTCGAGATATTGCGCTCAGCATCATCTCAACACGCATTTCAGAATACTTTCAATATGTATGCTGATTATTCCAATATGTATCGTCGCAACGCCGGTCGAGGAGATCTAGGAACGCCAGGATATTTACATGGACTACAGCGTACATATGACACATACGCTTCCGACGTTGAAGGAACCACTGCTTACCAATCCAACAGTCAAAGAGGTTTTCTTCCTGCTTTGCGCAAATGTGAGGAATCTTCTTCTTTACGTACTTTCCCAACTTTATTGGTACTTACGTTATGGCGAAAGTAGGGATGAGAAAATAAAGACAAATTTAGTATCGCCGCAGGGGCGAAATTTGCATTAGCCTCTAGACATCAAATTGGTTGTATTAGCTAATTATAAGGCCACAAAGAAATCGGAAGTTGCTGCCGTGAATCTTGCTAAGTTTTAAACTTTAGAATTTACCTTAGTTTTGATAATTCAAGTGTAGCGGAGGTAGATATTAATAAGCAGTTCCTATTTGTGCTTTAGTGCACTAACACGGAAGATATTGAACATATTAAGGTGTCTCATAATTTTTTTACCGTTTTTATCCTGAACATCAGCATCTCTCAAGAACTGGGGCACCTCCAAAAGGTACAAATTCATGAACTGCTTCTATATGTATGAGCTATATGATCTTGTGCATGGAAGGAGCTCAAGCTGTCTGGGGGCGGAGTTTACCATTTTGCGCCAATCATCTTTTCTTTATTTCTAGCCATGGGAAAAATACGGAAAATGTACAGCTGAGTGTACACACGTGTTAAACATATGCTAGAGTAAATGGGGAAGTTCTGACATTTTTGGGGCGGAGATACGATTTTTAACGGCAAAATTCGTTTTCGACTGCCATCAGATTTCAGTTCAAAACTTCACGTGGGATAAGATTTGGGCACTTTGATAGCCATCTTGTAGTGCTTGCTTTGCCCTGTTGAATAATTGCTCAGGCTACATCAGATGCAAAGATACAAAAAGATGGTGGTTGTAGTAAAAACAGTGAAAAATTGTGAGACGCTCTAATATAATCATAATTTAAAAAAGGAGCTTTTCGCACAAAGAAAAATTTATTTTGTACAAAACAATTACTTGCCTTGAAACTGTTTTAGAATGATGAAAGCACTATCTGCAATAAGCCCTCGTTGATTTAACAGCAAATGGAGCATCATTTTTTATGTCATGTCAGAAATCTTTAATTTCTCAGTTCCAAACCGCAACTGCGGTGTTTCCAAAATATTGCGTTACTCCAAAATTTGTCATTGCTTAAAATAGCCCTCAAATCCGCCCAGTAAAGATGAACAAACACTTCAAGACCGATGCACAATTGCACGTTCGCTATGTCCAGCTTTCGCTAGTTTTCAGAAAATTCTTGAGGCTTTTTGAGAAGTTCGATTAGCCACGGGGTAGGGTGATCCTTTTGCCAACAGAGCAGATTTTCGTCGAGTTTCCTATGCTAAATTGACTTCCAAAAATCGTGAGTTTTGGACCCCTCCCCACTCCCCTTAATCTGTTACTGCAGTAAACAAGCAAAATCAACATTTTATTATTAGTATTATTACAGCTGGCAAAAGGTATGCCCTATCCGCTGGCTATAAAAGCCCCCCCCCCCCCTTAAAATTCTCAGATCAAAGTTGTGAAAATTAGCGAAAGTCAGACACGCTGAAAACGAAGGGCTGTAACTTCAACCGTTTATCTCAACACTGGCTCAATGAATCACATTTGGAGTGCAGCAGCTGGAAAGACAAAGAAATTCTGCATTGGATACAGCATGAATTGTTTGGATATCTTTACTGCACAGGATTTACGGGTCATTTAAAAAAACTGACAAAACTTTGAACCGCTTCAATAAAAGAAAGCTTTCAAAGGCAAACAGACTAGAAGGTTGCTTTACTCTTCTTACTACTGCATGACTACATGTCTATTATTGTGCGAGTTAAACTATGCCTGTGTTCAAAGTAATATTGCATATGCTGAATCCCCTCCTAAGCTTAATATGCCATTGATTTGCCAAAAATGTAACATTTGTATTGAAAGTGGGCAGGAAGATTGAACTATTTTAAAACACAATTCGTCACAGCCGTTAATTTATCAATTGTACAATAGATCAGTGATTCGCTAAGTAAGTTGATTCAGAGCCAATTATAATAGCGATAATATTAGCCATTAGTAGATGCGAAGGTATTTTGAAAAGGTATCATTGAAACGCAACCTTGAACAGTTTCCAAGCTTTCTCTAAAGAAAATGTGGGAAACCGTGCTATCGAATTATAATCGTTGCAATGCTTTCAAAAGTCTCTGAGATCGTACGATATTACGTTTGAGCATGCCTGGCGTATCTTCGAAGAATCATCTAAAAAGGAAAATTGAGGAATAATTGACATTTTGACTGTAATAACTATAACTCTCTAAAGAAGCAACACTTCTTTTTGAAGTTTTGGACTTACATACATATGTCTGCTTTATGCCTAAGCTCACAAATTTCCTCACTTATGTGTCTTGGTTAACCGGGTAACCGCCGGTGGTATCCAAGGGTGGTTGTGGTTTCGAAGCAAATCTCTCAAAGCATCATAGGTTTGCACTTCTAAAAGCTATGGTAGCAATACACAGCATGTAAGCCAAATGGCAAGTCTTTATTGCGTCGAACAACACCAAGAAAAAACATTCGTAATCGCAATTTATGGCTTGCCGCGCCCAGCTCAAACTTCTTGTCACTGATGTGAACATGCGTCTAAAGTCCATCCGTTTTTTATCCTCATTTGACAGAATGGGACGAATTTCTCAATCAACCTTTTTAGAAAAAAAATTCCTAGTAGCTTACAGACGCCTAGAGGAATTTAGCTTTATTGTGAATTCATATGAAACTTTCGTAATGAAAAACTTTTCTAAAAATCACCTCGTTCTTCAGTCAAATTACATTGGTCGACATTATTTTTGATCGTGCTTATTGTTGGTGCGGCGTTGTCTGTGGTTCTCACTGTCGTTCTTACTTCAGAAACGTCCAGAAAAGAAAAAGGTGGGTGTTTTTTAAAGGTTATGCAGTAAATTCTTTCGCTTATCGACATTCTTTTGCATTTCCCGTAACGTTCAGTGGAATGTGTTTTGCTCTTGAAAGCTCTTATCCGCTTCTATCGACGTCATTGCCTCAATTTCTTCGATTAAGTTATTCAAAAATTTAAAAAGGTTTTCAAATCAAAATCTTCAAATGCCTTTCAGAAAAGCGTCGATTCTGACTGCCTAGAGCTGCCACGCCTAAATATAGCTGCTTTTAGAAAACAAGTTGTAACACATCTTCTGCAGGACAAACAATGCACAAATAGAGCAAACTAGACATCTGGCCCTTTTCAGACATGCTCAGAATTTTCGCCTTCTAATGGTCTTCTTCAACAAAAAAACCTTGATTTCTAGCAAAACTTAGCCTATGGTTGCATCCGATGCTTTAACACGTTGACGACAGTGCCGCGCAATGGTGCGTGGCAGGCAGACTGTCCCTGGGACGCGCAATGGTGCGCGGCGCTTTAATTTCAATACTATCGGTCCAATCCTCTCAGTTTTCATTCATATAATTAACATAGGCTCAGCCTTACTTCATATGTTAGCCCCCCCCCCCTCTTTGCAAACTTCGCCCACTCCTATCCTCACAATGACCTTTTTGTTCATAAAAAGCATGGATTAGGCCTTAGATGAACGCAAAGACCTCAGGCAACATTTAGCCAGGCCCCGCCCACCGCCAGGAAACTCTACCCCTAGGTGGCAAGCTCCGCCCACTCTCAAAGAGTGGCAAAATTCGCATGAATTCTCAAATTTGGGCAATTTCCGTCATTTTCGGTCAAGTGGAAAGAGCTTGACACATGGGACGGGGTTTGCGCAATTTATTTCGTGCATAGATGCATGCATACATATAGGGCTCCTAAATTGCAAAGTCGTTTGCACCAACGGTCGCGCGACCGCGTCGCGCCCGAGCATTTTGCCGGCGCCAGCGCCATCGATCGAGGCGGCGCCATTGATGCCCGGGCGCGACGCGGTCGCGCGACCGCTGGTGCAAACGACTCTGCAATCTAGGAGCCCTGTACATGCGGCCAGGCGTAGGGGTGCACGGAAGCGTCTCGTCCACAGGGAGACAGACCTCAAAAAAATGGCTCGTAGTCAACGTGTTAAAAGCCATATTCTTGAAGGCGAGTATAACGACAACATCGACTCATCAGATTTGTAGAAACTATTTGCGAAAAATGGGAAAAAAACTGTTGCGAAATAATACACGCTAAAATTTGAGGACCTCAATATCAGAGAACCTGAATAGCATAGTGTACGCAAGCAGCAAAATTAGAAGTGGGCGCGAAAGCGGTCTTGCAGACAGATGCTCTCGCGCTCAAAGGAAGGACTAGGTTGCGTCGGAAGCAAGAAGATTTGCGGAAGTTGGAAGAGTAACGCCACGATCGAGGGACCTTGTCCCGCCGGGCGGCGTGTCAGGATCCTCCAAAGGCCTGCCGCGTCATCTCCATGCGCGCCCTTCCGAGGCACTAATCTCTTCGCGCCTATCTCGCGCTTATGTCGCACTCGTCTCGCACATTCCTGCATTGTTTCCCCTTCGGGATGCTTTGTTTCTCCTAGCAATTACAAAAGTCGCCGCTTGAACAGTGATTTTTCTGCAGAAGAAGAAAAGGCTGTGGGAACCAATCACCTTATATACAAAGCTGAATGTCTGTTTGTCTGTCTGTATGTCTGTGTGTACGTATGTTCCGAATAGAAAATTCCATTTCTGAACCGATCGGGACCAAACTTAGCACACGTACACTTCGGGCCCCGGCGGGTGTCATAGGCTACTTTTCGTCATCGAACGAAAAGTAGCCTATGACACCCGCAGGGGCCCGAAGTGTATGTGTGCCAAGTTTGGTCCGGATCGGTTAAGAAATGGAATTTTCTATTCGGAGCATACGGCGGAGCCGGGTAAGCCAGCTAGTAACTTATGATAATGGGCTAAGTGTGTGTGTGTGTGTGTGTGTGTGTGTGTGTATGTGTGTGTGTATGTGTGTGTGTGTGTGTGTGTGTGTATGTATGTGTGTGTGTGTGTGTGTGTGCGTGCGTGTGTGTGTGTGTGTGTGTGTGTGTGTGTGTGTGTGTGTGTGTGTGTGTGTGTGTGTGTGTGTGTGTGTGTGTGTGTGTGTGTGTGTGTGTGTGTGTGTGTGTGTGTGTGTGTGTGTGTGTATGTTACGAAATTCGTAGAGCTGGTCGTGGGCTACATGTCTGTGCAAAAATCTCCACGAATGATCAGGTAAACTCTTGGAAAATTGACGGTTTACACAGCCAATCCTTATTGGCGCCGTTTCCGTAAAGTAGTAGACTTTTGATCACTTTTTTGGGCTAACGTCTATGGTTTGTAAATGGACTTATCAAATGTATCCATGACTTTGCAAAAAATGGTACTACGGATCAAATCTGATGGCTAAAAGCCAAGTGGATCCTTTGATGCGCATTTTTTGACGGATCCACTCAACGGACCCGCCCCTGCTTTTGCATAGTGGGTTTCCATGCCGGTAGCATGCGCTGTGCAAAATTTGGGCTCAGGACGTTGGCTGGAACACTACTGCCCCTATGACAAATAGCAAGCCATAAAAGTTCTAAAAACTACTTCAAATTTGCGTCTGTTTTTCTGCGAGAAGTCTCATCCACGCAAAATTACCGAGCTCTTATGAAAAAACTTTCGGAATGAGAAATTGTTTACGATTCTTTCGTCATAGTCATCATTGCGCGGTGAGTTTCATTGCCATTATTACATGAGAATGAGAATATAGTTAGTAGAACAAGTGCGAGCCTCTGAGAAGCAAAAGTGATGCACTGGTAAACTAATAAAATCAAATTAACAGAAGCGCCTCTTGCCAGGGAAGTCACTTAATCGAACTGAGAGTCTGGAAGTTGATGCATACCAATATAGACAGCTCAAAAAAAGCTGATTTTTTAAAAGTATGGGCTTTTTGTACTTATTACAGCATGGCCGAAAAACACACAAGAATGTATAGGTGATGTCACTAGATGCACGATGCTTAACAATGTTCTAAACAAGTGTGCATCCTTTCTATGGAAATCATTTTGCAACTCAGAATGCATGAAATTTGGCAATGAGAAAATCAAAACTTTTCCCAGAAGGAAGAAATAAATTTAATATTCATTTTAACGATATTTTCCGGAAATACGACATCTAAGAGATAAAGCAAAAATTTTATACCGATAACGCCAAAAAATGATGTACAATGTGTTTTTGTAGTTGTATGTCTCCAAAAATCTGCTCAAGACTTGGCCCCGCTGATAGGAAAACACGACCACCATTTGTTTCTTCCCATCCATCACATTTTAATACGGACAGCGGAATGTATCTGCCACTTAGTCAGCTCAATTTGCATATTTTTTAGTTTGTTACTGACAAATTTTTGATGCAGTGTGACCTTTCTGACTACAAAAACAACAACCTTTCTAATTTCTTAAAGGCCGTGGATCGGCAGAATGGACCAATGTCAGATTTTGGTACTGTTAGATTGTAGGCCTCCCGAGTACACCGTAGCCGCAACTTCACCCTCCAAATCATGTGCTAATCCCCTTCAAACTTCCATCAATAGCGCCCACTCAGTGGAGGTGGGCGGGCTGGTAAAGTTTTGAAGCTCCTTTACAGGACTTAGCGCATGAACTGGAGGGTGGGATTGGGGCTACTGTGTACTTGGACGGTATCCACTTAAAACCACCAGAATCTGACAGGGGTCCATCCTGCTGATCCACTGTTTTTAACTAACGAGGCTGAGTAATTCGCCATTTCTTGAAAGTTTCACGTCTTCAACTTCTGTTATTATTGAAAAATCCTCGTTAAAGCGACCCTTATATCTAATGCCAGGAGAAACAAGGCGATTATCCGGGGGGGGGGGGGGACTATTGCAGGAATGTGCGAGACAAGTGCGACATTAGCGCGAGGTAGGCGCGAAGAGATTATTGCCTTCCAAGGGCGCGCCTGGAGAAAAAGCGACGGACCTTTGGAGGATCTTGACTGCCCTCCGTCCCGCTAAGGGATGAATCGATAAGCTATATCTATATCCACTGTCAAGAGGTAGGTTTCCAGGGAGGGGACGCAGGAGCTCGTAGCACCTCCATTCGCACAGCATTCACTTCAGAAGGCTCCTCGGACATTTGCCCAGAGGTCGAGCCCCTCCCATCTGTACACCCCAGTACTGGTCACATTGGGAATCTGCGGGCTGCGGGAAATAGACATGCAAATGCGAGATTTTGTAAAAAAATCGTCCTTGCAAGGCAAATCCCTTTATTACTGCATGATAAAAATAAAGACATTTGATATCCCCAAGGCCTTACGTACTCAGAGTAAGATTGAGTGATGTTTTTGGTAGGAAGAAGGTAATTTTCTCTGCAATGGAATATTTTTAACAGTTTTTGTGTCTACATTACCATAGATTAAAGCTTGTCGCTTTAACTTACGGAGCACTGTTATGCACGTCACAGACACATGGAGGATAACTGTCGGCACTTTTTGATACCATTTACAACCATACTCAATTTTACTACCTTTCGTGCAATCTTTGGGAGCTTGTTTCTTTGCGAACAACCAACAAAAAGCTGAATTTGGATAATTATCTTGAAGCGCAAAACCCACTTCTTCTTGAACAAGCAAAGAAGATTTCAGTAAATTATCGAACTTCTTTTGATTTACATGAGAACTATCGCATCGATTTAATAAGTCTGGTAGGTTGGGTAGTCGTTTTGGCATGCCAACAGAATTTACAAAATTTCAGATATTTAGGTTTTTTTGCAAACTAGTACCAAATTTCTGCAAAAAAGGAACATTCTTATCATTTATTATCATAGAAAAACGAACTTAAATTGATACAAATTGAGGGAGTCTCAGTTTTGAGCATTCGTTCAAATTCTATAAAAAATTTGTTGAAAATGATTTTTCGGTTGTAACATAAGCCTCGCTCCAAAACATGCCAAAGTCGCAATAAGTCATATTTTGAATATTCCATATAGATTCTATGTTTCTGTATTCAATAGAGCAAAGCCAGCTCTATAAGGTATTAAACTATACAAAGTTTCAACCAAAAACTAGAAATCCAACTGTAAGAAAAATTGGAAAAAAGTGGGGACTCCGTTAGAAATTTGGAACACTCACAACCTGCATAGTAGATACACTTACAATCGAAACTTAAGCATTATCTCGGCTCAATATTAAGAAAAAGAAAGTTTCCTTACTTCTGACAAAGCGGTGTCCACACTTACGCCTCACGGTCAAAAAATCGCTGAATGATATTAATAATAATAGTAAGTTTCTCTTTATGTTGCAAAGGCAAATTGTCCCGAATGGCATACTTCTTTTTTGTCTGTCATTTTCAGTTCTTCCTTACATTCCTTGAGAACTATCCTCCAAGCCTGCACAACCCGTAATGAAATTAGCCAGTGGGAGGGGCAAATGGGCGGAGCCTTTTAAAAAGGCGCCTAGTAAGTGCTAAGTACCTCTGCAGGGAAAGGCGAGGCTTTGGAAACTCTTAACCCGCCTCCGGTTTCCAGTGCGACTCTGCGTCTTATTTTCGGCGACAGGCGTTAATCAAAATCAGGGGCTTTTGCAATAGCTTGTTTTCGACATTTTCGTACTCTGCAAGCTGCATTTTCGCAGCGAGAAGGATAAGCCTCGGTAAGCGGAGAAAAATTCTGCTCAAACGCTGCGTTCAAGTGATGCTTCCGCCGCCTGCGGCGCACTCGCTCAACATCTCTTATGGGTCCCCGTGATCGATGATGATATAGCCTATATATGCTTTTTTGCAAGACGATAGTATGAAAAATCATGTTGCTGAAAGCAGGTGGAAAAATCGCGAAAGTGGTGGCCTATTCGGTCTGTTCAATGTATCTGTCGACTGGACTTCTTTGTAGGGTCGTAAAAGATATTTGAAATAGAAAGATAAGATATATATTTAAAATAGTAGAACTTTACCATGACAAAACAAGACATCGCTGATAGATATATATATATATCTAAGATAGTAGAACTTTACCATGACAAAAGAAGACATCGCTAATTTTCTAGATGCTTATTCTGTGGATTGCAGTGAAAGTATGATTATTCAAAAAAGCTTGAAAAGCCATATGAAAAGCAATTTCTATAAACCTCTGTTCCTCGATGACCCCAATTGGGTCTCGGTGTATATTCAGATCCCACCGCTAAATCAAGCAAAGGGAGTGGCCTAGCACAGTTGCTAAATGGATGCGAAGTCTTCGCACCTTGGCTGGATGTCTCTAAGGTGCAGCTATTTATTTTTAGGTCGATCTGGGATCGAGGTAGATGGTGGCAAAAATTGTATCGCGTAATAATTTCTTTGAAATTGTCTCAGTAAGCAAACGATGAAGTAGCAAATCTTTTGCAAGGCTTGCTGTGCCATGCATGCCCTTTTTAGCTTGTGTTTGACTTGAATATACAGTATATAATCCCATACTAATTTTCGTGATTATAATTGCAACTGCGTGTTTCACTACTCAACTTTGGAAGCTAAGGATTCCACAAGACTCTGCTTCAATTGCCACTTCCAGAGCCCAGAGTAATGTATTTCTCAATGTATGTTGGAGATGTGGGGGAGCCGTCCAAAAGCTTACATCTCAGGAGCGATGGTAAAGAGTGCAGTCTTAAAACGGTAAGTGGAACAGTTGCAATATTCATCGTGGAAATAAGTGCACTCTCGTTCAACTCAAATTCAATTAGATTGTAGCGTTCCATGAGTAAGGTGTGCCAACATTCTGTCTACCGATTTTTCACATGGTAAATATCCCGGACTTAAGGATAAAAAACATCCGAACTGTTCAGACAAGTGCGATTTCGAGTTGAATCGCAGAAAATTCCAGCGGCCCTTTAATTAGATCACAGAAAACTTCAGCTTGCATTAGATTGCTTAATAGAAGAAATCGATCAAACTGTTTATCTGTACAAAATGATATAATCAAATACATCAGATCAACAAAGTGAGTTCATACATTTTATAAATTCTTTGTCATCTTCTCATCTTCTTCTTTTTTCGAAAAACATTTCGCCATGTGCTTGTGGTTTGACACTTATTCCTAACATTTTAGTTCTCGGAGACGAAATCATTGTGAGAACTAGCCTGCAACCTTCAAACAAACTAGTGATTTTCAAAAATTTCAAGAAGGCTCTACCCTCAGCAAGCAACATATTTAGGTTTTGTAGTCTTTCGAGAAAAATAATATTTTTCAACATTTATTTCGATGTAGGTTGTCTTAATGCTTTGGCGGGCCAACATTCCTTCTCTGGGGCAATTGTTGTGTGCAACAATTCGTCGTTCTGTAGGAATCGCTTTGATTCTGAAGTGCTATCTTAATGGGTTGTCCCGGTAATACTCTTTAAAAAATAGATCCTGCACTTTGCTGAAGCCGCTGGAAGCGGTTTGAAAAGGTCCCTGCAAAAAGCGGCGCTTATGACGATTCTGAGAGAATATGCAATAACATGCAATGACTTACAACTATTATAGAATTACGCAAAACGATTAAACGCACGCCTTGAACACAATCGAGTCGCTCTTCTCGGTTTGCAAATAGTCGATAAGGATTCACACAAAAGTTTCTGTCTCTTCAAAAGATTTGAGAATAACGGATGGAGTTAACACCTTCAATGCAACCGTTTAATCGGACTTGTCCAACAATTTTTTTGGAACAGCCAAGGCTTTCTTTTCCGCCGTCACAGGTTTTAGTCCTACCAGTACCCTAAACAAAATCTCAAAAAGCGCTTGTTCCACTTATTCATCTTGTAAAGTTCCCGATTGAAAACATATTGGAAATCTAAACAGGTTGCGGAAAAAGTTCCGCCATACAAAATGGAGCTCAAAAGTCGTGATTCCCATTTTTTTTCTGGTAAATTTGACTTAAACCCCAAGATAAGAATACGTTTTAGCATTTTGCTAAAGTTTCTTGGAATTATCAAACAAAGGCAGATCAGACTAGCCCCTTTACGAGCTGTTGCGATCTGCCTGGAACACGATATTCTTTGTTTAGTCAAGACATAAATCGATGGTCTATAAAGTCTATAAAAATTGTGGACTTTGGAGGAGAGGTCAAGCTCTACACATTACTTTGATCTAAATTTCAAATTCTGAAACTGATATCACACTTGTACGTAGATCTATAAAGCAAAGCGCTGCGACATCGTTGACAATCGTGTTAGCTGTCACCACTCGTTTGGACGAAAAAAAACCGCTACAAATTGAACTTATCTCAGTCTAATTCATAAGGTTTCATCTACAAGAGGGATTCAAAAAATTATAGATTTCCACTAACTGAGAGACGGTAGTTTTTCCGCACCCTATAAGGGAAGTATTTTTTAACGCTTGCTGCAATCAGCATCGCGCAAATTTGAATGGTTTTAATATCTTAAGCTTTCGTGAGTTTACCTATAGCAGTTAAGAAAGCTGTTGTATGGCTAAATGCTTGCGCCAACATTATCGAATCATCACTGTAAGTCAAAATGACCTATGTAAATTAACCAAAGTGTATATTATATGGATTCCAAGCCTTGAAGAAGTGAGTGATTGCGGAAAGAAACTTTTGCAACAGAGTGTTGGAAAGAGGAAGAAGCTGCGTCGATTGTGTTCAAGGCGTGCGTTTAATCGTTTTGCGTAATTCTATAATAGTTGTAAGTCATTGCATGTTATTGCATATTCTCTCAGAATCGTCATAAGCGCCATAAATTCTTCAAACTTTCAAGGGTGTTTCTAATCGTGAAAAACTGATAATAAATGAAATGTACGACTCTCTATGAACCTCGGCATGGTGTTGTTGTTTATGATACTGAGCCGTGATCCACAGGCAGAGGTTGACAATTGTTTTAGAGTACTTAATGAGCATCTGCATACATAAAGCTCACGAGGGAAAGGCCTAGCAATGAATGGTTGCCATTTTTGAATGTGCAGGTTAATATATCCTCAGGTGTGGCATGACAAAATGGTACCGCAAGCCAAGCAATAAGAATGTTCTTGTCCATTTCCGATCAGCTCATCCGCGTCAAACAAAGAAAGCCATCATCAAAAATATGTTCCGGACAGCTCTTCGTGTTTCCAGTGGACAGCAAGAAAGAGTGGAATCAGTGGCGCTTGCGCGGAAAATTGCGGCCTCCAATGGGTACGAAAATCGTGGTAGAACAGCAAGGAGGGGTGAAAATCGCCGTACCCAGGTAGACAGAACGAGCACAGTTGATAAAATACCTTTCTGCACCCCCTATATTTCCGATGAAGTGAGCACTGCCTTTCGACAGTGTCTGAGGAAATGTGGGCTGGAAAATACAGTTGCAATAATGGAAACACCCCCTAATAACCTTAAAAGCATTTTGGTCCGCAATCGTATCTATGATCGCGGCTGCACTACGCCCAATTGCATTATATGCCCTGAGGGTAGGTGCGGAGACTGCATGGCGACGGGGGTCATCTATCTTATCACCTGCGCGAACTGCGGCGACGAGTACGTAGGCGAGACAGCGCGGCCTGTGTTCGCATTAGAGAGCACTTAGACGGCAGGGATAGGTCACGAACCTCCACCCCACTAGGCACTCACAGGGCGCTGAATCACGCGAAGACAAATTTTGACGTCTCAGTGAAAATCCTGGCGCATGAATCACATACACTGGCTCGCAAATGCTTAGAGGCCTTTTGGATCCATGCCAAAAGCCCTAGAATGAATCGTAAGGAAGAATACCTATCCATCACTCGTAAACTCGCTCCTTACCTAGGTCAGATCTTCTGACCCGCCGGAGACGTTATAAATAGCCGTGCCATTAGCGTTTAACCATATTGCTCTCGCTCTGGCATCAGAATTCCATCGGCGTTTCAAAAGGTGAGTGTTTGGTTAGGCAGTTAACTATCGGTCTACCAAAGTCTCAGAGTTTTGTTTGCATAGCTGCAGAGACGTTTGGTCGAATAGAAGCCTTAAATATTTTTGGCGAAACGGAAGGAGCCCGAGCCTAGTTAGCACAACTCGCGATGTTGCTCAGGATATGATAATCTTTCTATGACAATACAGCCTCCTCCTCTAAAGAGCTTATTTTGAAACGCGACCAAGAAATGCTGACATCCATCTGGAACTTCAGATAACTGAAAGTGGCTTTTGACCAAAAGCCTTCAAAATCTAAAATAATAATAATGCGTAAAAAACATACAAAGCTGAAATTAAGCTTGCACAAAAGGTGATCGCATCGTCATCAAAAAGTGAGCTGCTGTGTGAACAAGACATTTTCTTTCACTCAGAACTTTATTTGAGTGCTAGAATTTGAAAAAACTTTAGAGATTCAGCAAATGAAAAACATAATGTCCGCCAATAAATGAGATTGTTGCAGCAGATGCGGGATGAGAAAGTGATTGTCGCAAAGCATCTAAAGTGTTGAGATCGTCGATAGTAGCGCGTCATTGTGAACATCATAACTATATCGAAATGAATGTGTATGAAGCAAGTTTAATGAGTAATATCTCAGAAACATCCCAGCAAGACCAAAAAATTTCGTTTTTAGCCTTCTTTGTCCGAAAAAAATAGGTTTTTGTGCAAATTTCCATAGATCAGGACAACATTTCTCGACTGTCCTCTTGTTTGACTACGATTGATTTCCGAAAAATTGGAAGTATTAGAGTTTAGTGAAAACAAAAAACTGTGCTCAACACACACACACACACACACACACACACACACACACACACACACACACACACACACACACACACACACACACACACACACACACACACACACACACACACACACACACACACACACACACACACACACACACACACACACACACACACACACACACACACACACACACACAGAGGCCCTCCAAGTGAACCAAATAGCAACTCGGCGCAAAATGTGAACTCTGCAAGCCAGGGGGCGGCCCAACCACCGCTCCCCTTCCTCTTTCGCTCCCCTAACACCTTGTTCGGAAGAGTGTATTCTCCGCTAGAAAACGTGCCGTCACTCGTAGCTTCGTAAGGCAGAATTGTTCTAGCGCTCTCTACCTCCTCACTCTGCGTCTCTGACTGCAGAGAAAAACGGCTCACTCGTCCGCGCCCTTCTCAAGGGGGGTTTCAAAAGACGAGGTTTTCCCCCATTTTCGCGTTAAGGGGAGCTCATGTCGTGATTTAGGGGGCCGGAATAGCCCCAAATCTGCCAAAACCCCGAAGTTGAAAATCTGCCGCTGCCTTTAATATTGCAAACTTTTTTTGGGAAGCCAAAACGTAAATCGAAGGAAATGAGGAAAAATAATATAATAGTAATAAGCAACAACAATATTGCTTCAAAAAAGGGCAGCGAACTCAAGTACTTGGGTTTGAAGCTAGTATGGCTTCACTAATATGAACTGCGTGAAAATAAAAAAACGATCGTTTTCAATTCCAATTCGAAAACGCACTTTGCTCAGATTAGATTTTCTCCTCTCTTCTTTCTTCAATAATCTATTTGTACTTAACTAGGTGCGTGAAAGCTGATGTTTTAGCTGCGAGCGGCCATTTTGAAGGATTTGGCTGAAAGCCAATTTGAAGTTCTATTTTAATTTGGGCACCTTTTGGCTATGTTCCAAAACAGGCTCATGGTGAATGTCCAATATCCTATCAACCCAATAGAGTCATTTGGCACAAGAGATTTATGAAGAAAGTAATTTGTCCAAGTACCTGCAACAGTACCGTCGTGTCAGAGCTGCACTGCCAAAAAACTATCAGGCCGTTCCATAAGTTCTTAGCGTTTTTATAAACCAACAAAATTATCAACTTACAGTAAAAATCAATCAGAATTATATTCCTGTTGTAGCGCATGACCTTTTGGCACACTTTTATTAGCTCCCCAACCTCAATTTTTCAAACGGTGCCGGGTCCCAAGAAAGTCATCTAACCAGCGCTCAAACTGCTTATTAAGATCGAGACGCACCACTCATGAGGTTTGCCAGAGAGCGGAGCAAATGATAGTCTGATAGAGCGAGGTTTGGAAAGTACTTTAGGTACTAAAGTACCTTCTTGTCAAATCTTGCAGGACAGTTTTGCCGACGTTTGCCGTGTGGCGCCATGTTTCGTCAGGCAGAAAATTCACTGGATTTGTCTGTTAGGCTTTTCTGCGGTAGGAGCTGGTTCGAACGGTGCAGTTGGATTGCTTACGGTATGGTTCACCATCACCGACCTGTACAGCAATTTTCAAAGCAGAACTTTCTGCCCGTCTTCCGAAAAGTCTCGCTCAGGGACACCCTGTTCAGCCCCTGATCTTTCGTAGCATTTTTTTGTCCTATATTGATGTTTGAGCGCATTCCCATAATCGACACAATAATCTGTGCAAAAGCGCCTCTTTTCATAAGGAAAAATGCGCAAATGCCGAAATTGCTCGTTTTTGCCTTTCAAGATTTCCTTTCTTCGGAATGCGAAATCCAAGTGAATCAGCTTTTCACCGGAATCGGTAGGATGCGTAAATCATTTGGAATTCGTATTTCGAAAAGCATGATCAGTCCTTCCAAATGATTTACGCATCTTGCCGCGAATCAGCCGCTCCTCAAAGATATGAGGACGAAAATGAAAACGAAAACGCTACGAACTTATGGAACGACCTAACATAACTAGTAGAATGCTTTTTTTCAGGTGAGGTGTAATCTAATCTGTAGTACTTTTAGAACAAAAAGAACACAGAAGTTTCAATCAAGCAAATTGCTGACAAAGGCATCGACCAACTATACAGTTTCATATTCTATGGAGAAAAAGTGCGAACGACAAAACCGAAAAAAGCCAAAGATGCCATTGCTAAACTCGATGACTTCCCAGCAGAAGAACAGGAGATATTCAATCAAAAAGGGTAAGCAGTGAAATTCTATATTGTACAGTTAGCCTAATACTCAAAATGAAAGTAGTAGAAATCAGTAATTTAGAATTTTCAAAGGATTTGTTGATTGTTGTTTTGAAAATGCATTTTACTTCATTTCAGCGCTGTCCAAGAATTTGTGAATAGAAAGAGAGATGGAAGGGACATGCTTGTGCACTACATCCCATGCAGTTTCAACTACTCGTACGTTCTTCATAAAAGTTTACACATTCAAGAAAATTTGGCTTGGATGTTTGCTCCTTTTTTATCAACAAGGGGATGAAACACCAATCAATCGTCTATTTGCAAAGACGTGCCTCTCTTAAATTCAAATTTTTTAATGGAATTAAAGAGGATAAAGGATTTGATTCCATCAATACCCTTTGCGGGCATGGGACAAACGCACATTACCTCATAGAGAAGCCATTGAAGCGTGCGAGCCTATCACAATGTTTTGTGGAGGCCAACCGGTTACCAAATTCCTCAACCACTGCCACCGTTCCCCAAATTTCTTAATTTTCACGCTTAAATAATAGTGGAAGCTTCGAAAACAGCGGGCACTGTTTTGGGAACACAACAACAATTGTTCGCAAAACAGCTCCACATTCGATAAGCATTCAAAATCTGATCTAAATGTAGCCAATAGCTCACTAAAGTTGCGGCCGCGGATACTGATGCAGCCGCAGCCCCGCGTTTTTCACTGATTATTTTTTTCACGTTTTCTTAAGAAGTAAGTACCTAGATAACTTTTCATTTGCAGCATCTCAAATCATTCTTCACAAATTTTCGCGAAATAAACATTCGATGCTTCCAAGCTGGTTCAAGCATAAGAAGGATAATCTAGTCTCATCTTCTGTGTTTTTTGTGAGACGTACTCGAGATTGTTGAATATTTTATTGGCCCGGCGTTTCGGCAGATCGCCTTCTTCAGAGCCTGAAATGGACAATACAAACTGCAATCCATTCGACAACGTCTCTGCAGCAGAGAGAACGAAGTGTCAGCACTTAGGTTCGATCATTAGCTCATTTAGCCAAACACTTACTTTTTGGGTTACGCCGAAGAGCTTTTTGACGCGATAGCGAGATGACTAATGACCGTTTGGGGTACCACTAGCTAACCTAGGTAAGGCGCCAGTTCACGCGTGATTGCTAGGCATTCCTCTTTGCGATTAATTTTTTTGGAATTTTTGCGTGAATCCAAAAGAACTCTATACTCTTGCGCGTTGATGTCTGAGATTCGTGCGTCAAGAATTTCACCGAGACTCTGGAATTTTATCACTAGGTGAGTGCCCAGAGGAGCGGATGTGCGTCATTTATCTTTGTCGTCTATGTGCTCTTCAATGCGAAGACATAGCAAGCGTGCCGTTTCGCCTGTGTATTCCTCGTTGCACTCCTTTCTGGAGTTCAGATGATGACCTCGATAGCCATGCAGTTCCCGCCTCCGACGGCAGATAACGCAAAGTGGCGCAGTGCAGATGCGGTTGTAGATACTATCGCGAACTAGTAAGCTTTTCAAATTTCTAAAAGGCCATTCGATTTTACGATCCTAACAGAACGGACATCAAGTCTCAGTTTCCAATTGTACATCATTACCCTTTTGTGTACAAAGGGTCAATGTACCTTTACTTTACTCCTTTCATGGGCATCTATTTCTATTCAGCTACATCGATTTTCTTCTTGTTAAGCATTTCGTGCTCGTGTACGATGGAAGCACAGAAAAGAAAACAGCCATGAAACCGCGAAGCGCTGTATCAGTATCGCATCGCTGCTGCGCTCTACGCTACGTACGACGGTATTATGGAACATTGCTTATGGAAGTAAGTGAGATCACAGAATGACGAGATCTCACTGCTCTGTTGAAAGCTCATAACTTCCATAACCATTTATCCTACTAAAAACATGTAAGTCGAAAACTTGCCATCTGTTTTGTATTTTTTGGTTACTGATCGAAAAGGGCACGAAGCTGCAAAAGCAACGCGAAGGCCGTCCTAAGAGTCCTCTTTTGACCAAGGTATCACGTAAAATGACAAGTTCCAATCCGCGCCTTGAAGTTCTCACTTATTTAATCAGTACGGAATTCATATCGCAAATTATCTACTTCACTTTGTATTTCACTCTGAGCTATGAAAAAAGCACAACCTTCACCTACATAAAAAGCAGTTAACGTCCGTTTCAAATTTCGTGTATCAATATAAGGATGCAGAACTCAGTTCAAAACCACAGTCAGCTGCATACCATCGCACTCACTCTGAAACGTTAATCTTAAATCTACGTTCATTTTCTGCTATTCGGTCTTCTATGGTTATAAGTAGCGTTGAGCGTAATCAGCATGTCAAACTATTAGGGTGATCACTAAAAAATGGGACAGCTTGATTTTTGTCAAATTTTGAGATTTTTTGTTTCGATCAACAACAAGCAGGCTGCAACGTAAACGTCGCTCATATAAGCGATCTTCGCCTATTATTCTGGCAAAGCGTCACGCTCCTCTCCCACAACCCTACGCGTGACGCCCTGAAGAACTCGAACGAGGTTTCTGAACATCGCTCATTCTTGCGCTGCCATACCGTAAAGTTATAGAGCAATTGATACACCGTTCGAAAGGGCTCTTCATGCTCTTTTAAACACTATATTAAACATACAAATTCTTTCTATGTCTGGGTAAAGAAAAAGAAATAACTGAAAAATCGCGATTTTTGGTGCAACAAAAACCAGTAAATCAAGTTTCAATCTGTATTTTCCGAAGATAGATGAAATGTGAGGTAAACTGCATATGGATGGATAAAGCGTAAAAAGCTCTTTCAGATGGTACTTATAGAACATGCGTTCACCTGCAACGCATTGAATGGCACGTATCTTTGTTCCCAAAGCTGCGAATGGACACCTCCTGAATTTGAAAGTTTACACCAGCAACCCATTGTGGATCTGGTGACTGTACCTTCACGCACTGCAGCAGTAGTACTTTGGATGGTTTCGCGTGTTTCACTGCGCAGATACTGCTCGAAGTTTACAATTTGTCAAAGTGACTAACTTTGCATTTCAGCCACTATAAAAATTATTAGTTATGTAAATGACCTTATATAGGTATTCTCTGGAAGAAAATAATCTATTCTAACATTTATCAAAATTGGGAAGTTTAATCATCTTTCTTTTTTGAGAAATCTACATTTATTCTCTAGGTGTCCCATTTTTTACCGATCACTTTAATACCTTGATGAGCTCTACAAACCATTACTTACTGTATTTTCTAGTGTTTCTCAACTGAAAACCTGATATTCAGACATGATTAACTTGGTTTCAGAAGGAAAATAGTCACATTTTTTATGTTTGTAACAAAGCAATATCCTCAATCAGCCCTTACTAAAAATCAAGTCTCATACCGCTTTCAATTACTGGAGTTAAAAGTGCTGCCAAAATTTTAACCGGCGCGTTCTTCACCTTGAGCGTTTCAACTGCACGGATTACCGCAAAGCCGAACCAATCGAAGCAAGCTCAAACATGGATTGTAGAATCTTCGAGGATTGTGCTAGCGGATCACATAGAACCTGAATGAAAAGCTTCTTCGAAATCAAGCATAAAGGGATCGCAGAACTCCTATGGTCCGGCTGTCTAAGCCTTTCGTTGCTTTGTGCCCGACCCCTTTTCCTTCAATACTTAAAAATTGCTTCTTCTCTGATATGAGTATCCGAGCCCAAAGTTTTTTTTGCTAAATTGAAAATTAGAATCCAAACACTCCACTCCTGTGTAATTATAGCTCTGAAAAAAGGGCTATTCAGATCCATTTTGCCGTTAAGTTGCGCGTGACGCATAGCAGTGCAAAAGTCATTCCTACAGACTTCCAAAAAACGAGGGCTCCTTTAGTAAAGGCTGGTTTTCTTCAAAATATCACAGCCTCTGTCTCGGAGGTGAGGCGGAGGTATTGCTTAGGGCTTTCACAGGGAAAGGGGGTCGTTTTTGAAGGACTTGGGCCTGACCTCTTGCTCAACCCAGGTTCTGAGCTCTGGTTTCCGCTTTGATACGAAAGGCCGTTATGTACGATTCGTGACACAATATTCAATGAGGACGACTGTTGCAGCAAAGAAGCGCGAAGCCTATGAATCAGGAGTAGATTTCGGTTTTTTTTTGCTCGCAACTTTTTGCTCGTCTAGAGGAAGGTTGCTCTTTACTTGCAAACGCTAGCAAAGAGCAACCTAGTAACGACCGCTTCCCCAACATATCCAAAGCTAGGTTTCGTTGAAAATTAGTTCTTTTGGGACCTGAAGATGATCGTTTATGTGATCAAGCATGGAAACTTCACTCACTTCACTTGAACAATTTTTGTCTTCGTTAGATTTATCTGCTTTTATCCTTTGCTTTGCTCGTAAATGTTGCTAATCTCAAGATTCTTTGACTATCTTGCAGGTGGAGTTGAGCAAAAAAATGGAGCAGTTTGAAAGAATAGAATCTGGTGATAATCATTTCAAAGACATAGTGAGGCAAGGCTTGTCAAAGTGGTGAATTTTCGTCTTTTCTGGCATGCGCACGCTGACGCGGAAACCGGAGTTTAAAAGTGCTTCCTAGAAAATCGTTTAGCAGGTAGTGAAATAGACATGACATCAGCATCTCAAGGCGAGTGCGATGTCATACGGCTGCCCGGACTACTTTTGAACATTCCCTTGTAAGACCCTTAATGAAAGAGGTGAATGGGTAGAATATCCCAGCACCACTAAAAAATGCGTTTCTGTGGTCTTTTTAGCTAGAAACAGTTCTTTTTGATAAAGATTGGTTTTTTGAAAATGCAACTTTTACTCACCAGTTCTTACACTATGAATAACTTCTGGAAATCCGAAAGGATCAATAATATCTATAGAAGTGTAAAACTGTACTCTCAAAATTCAAGCGATGATCCGCACACAGAAGTGCTTCTTCATCTCGTTTTTTGAGTGGTTTTCGACTTCAGTGACGTTATTGAGCCATCAAGTGGTCTGACGACGATCAGAATGATATATAATGGCGCAAAGCTTCTTCAAAAAATTGCAAAATCCACTAACAACCCTACTATTTCTCCTTTGCTCCTCTGCACCACTATGTGTCGCACGGGCATTTGGCTCTGGTACTATTTTGTTTTCTGTTGCTTTGTGTTTAATCAATCGCATTTATCTTGTAGCTCTTAGTGTATACCCAAACGCTGACAAAGTACTCTATATCTCGATTGAATGAGACATATGG